GGTGTAGAGAATGTAACTATAAGGCTATTCGTTGGCACTTTATTACCATCTCTTGTAGAATAAATGCGCTTGATATTTGAAACCTGCTGCGATTTTAACTCTTCAGCAATATCATTCTCTGCCATTCCAGCAAGGTCAGCACATCTGATAACGCCCTTGCTGGAGTTCAGAGACTGGTGAGGCGTGGCAGTTGAATCGATATTGAAGAAGGTTGTGCATTTCAAAATATTTTCTGCTTGTTGCTTTCGCTCTACCTCTATCAAGAGTCCACCATTGCGGAGTTTCTTGACAGATTTAGGCGTACCAATTAAAGCTGAAAGTTGTTTTTCAATAATGAAAGGGCTAAGTTCAGTTAGTAATTTTGAGCTGTTTGATTTAATTATCAGAAAACGGGGAAAACTTCCATCAACTGAATCGTTACAATTGAATCTTCTTGCGATTTCGTTTTTTTGGTTTGGGAATCCATGATAAATATATGTAAAATTCGTCTCCCGAGTTCCCCAGCCACCTCGGACTCCAACATGGGGATGTGCGATGGAGACGGATATCCAGTCTCCGCACAACAAGGCTACCAGAGAGATATACTTGTATAGATTGTAAATAATTACAATCTACACAATTAGCCCATTAGCCACCGCCTTCTTGGATATGTTATAATGTATTTATAATGCAAATGTTAAAGATTGTTGTAATATAACGGCACCAAAAATCACAGTTTTAGTAGGAATTGAAAGGTATACTAGAATCACAAGTAGGAATCAAAATATGTGCTTTGAATTGTATTCATTTCGGGACCGTGTGAGTTCAATGAAATCTGCAAATGATTTAGAAATATATATCCAAGGGCAAGGCATGACCAGCCGATTGACCAAAAAGCCGGGCTCACTTGGCCACCCGTCTACCCTAAATCAGAGGCCAAAGCAGTGTGTTGGGAGTACTGGAGATCCCTGGTATCCCTCAACTACCAGGACCCTCTTTTCTAGGTTACGGGACGCTGCCCACGGCAAACAGGCAGTCTGGGTGTTGGCCATATGTCCGTCATACAGGCGCACAGCAGAGCACCTCCATAACGGACATATGTTACTCCTCCTCACCACGTAGAGGTACCCAAAAGAGGAGGGATATTGCACTTATTCATTATCCCTCATGTACAGACTCAATCAAACCGAGTCTGCAATTCTTATGTTATTTTGTTGTGATTAATGCTTTTAAGGGATCACTTTGTTTCCAGAATTTTTTACAGTTAGTGGATTTCCCAAATTGGGAGACTTTCTCCGTAATGGGAGAATGTCTCCCGATCGAGAGACAATGTAAGTTTACCAAAATTTGCAAATTGTCCCCCGATTGGGAGATATTCTCCCGATATAGAGACCGATTTTGCATGCATGCATTTGAGACCATATCTACGGCAAAATCGTCACATTCGCGCAATTTTTAACCGGTGAAAACGAAAAGTGCGGGAAAAAAACTTACTGAACGCCGCCTTTCCTTGTTGATCTTGTTTATCATATTTGGAAAATAGAGAAAAACAGAATCCCTAAAGAAAGTCCAACACAACAAAATTGAAAATGTTGCAGGCTCAGTTTGATTGAGCCTGTTCATGGACGGTACTGGAAAGTGCAAGTTACCGTCCACGCCCCGAAGCACCGGCTTAAGCAGAATTCAACATTTAACACGAAAATGGTGAAATTTTGAATTTAGAAACATCCGCAGATGTTTTCATACGGCGGTTATCATAGAACCTTCAGGCTTCATAACCTCTGATCCCCTTTCAAAATTCCATTTTATTTAGTTCCGCCCATTGTTTAACCGCCGTATGAACACATCTGCGGATGTTTCTAAATTCAAAATTTTACTATTTCACGTTTAAATGTTGAATTCTGCTTAAGCCGGTGCTAGGGGGCGTGGACGGTAACTTGCACTTTCCAGTACCGTCCATGAACAGGCTCAATCAAACCGAGCCTGCAACATTTTCAATTTTGCCGTGTTGGGCTATCTTTAGGGATTCTGTATTTATCTATTTTATTCTCGTTTAGGGCATACGTATTTTTTTAATTGGGGACCATACGCCGCTTTTCATGGAATGGCACTACTGTGTCACATTGAAGGTTCCATGATAACCGCCGTATGAACACATCTGCGGTTGTTTCTAAATTCAAAATTTTACTATTTCATATTTAAATGTTGAATTCTGCTTAAGCCGGTGCTACGGGGCGTGGACGGTAACTTCCAGTACCGTCCTTGAACAGGCTCAATCAAACCGAGCCTGCAACATTTTCAATTTTGCCGTGTTGGGCTTTCTTTAGGGATTCTGTATTTATCTATTTCAATGTGACACAGTAGTGCCATTCCATGAAAAGCGGCGTATGATCCCCAAGTAAAAGAATGTGTTTGCCCTAAACGAGAAAACAATGGGCGGAACTAAATACAATGAAATAGAAAAATACAAAACCCCTAAAGAAAGCCCAACACGGCAAAATTAAAATTATATTGCAGGCTCGGTTTGATTGAGCCTGTTCATGGACGGTACTGGAAAGTGCAAGTTACCGTCCTCGCCCTCTAGCACCGGCTTAAGCAGAGTTCAACATTTAAACGTGAAATAGTACAATTTTGAAGTTAGAAACATACGCAGATGTGTTCATACGGCGGTTATCATGGAACCTTCAATGTGACACTTCCGTGCCATTTCATGAAAAGCGGCGTATGGTCCCCAAGTAATATGGCCGGCCCTTGTAGGTGATTTTCTTGTTGCCCTGTCTTCCTTATGGACATTGAGTACTTTTGTTATGGTCATTGGGTTTACTTTTATATGTTTCTACATGACCATTTTAGTGTTTTACTTATTTAACCTTTTGTAACCATGACAACTGTTAGAATTTCACTTGGCGGGAATTCATTTTTTTTACACTGTCTCGTTTATAGGAACATGGTGGGGCTAAGAGGGAGGTTTGGTGCACCATTAACCGGTTTAAACTCCCCAGCAGTCATTATTATGCTGCTGACCGTTCCAAGGCGGCGCCCCTCTGTGTTCCTCAGTTGTATGTCTATGTCTTTCATACTGTTATGGTGACACTTGTGTCCCTTGTTGTTTTCTCGTCTACTGTAAGTATCTTCCCTTTTGTCCCTAGTTTTATTTATTTGATTAACACCCCCCCCCCCCCTTCCCCCGGTCTCCTGTCCCGTTTGTGGGCCTATTTTCATGTCCTTTTTTTCTTTGGGGTCCTCCTGGGCTCCTTGCCGCTGGGTCGGGTGGGGGCTGCGTTCATTGAATGCTGCCTTTCCATGTCGATCTTGTTTATCATATCGTATACTATTATTCTTTTCTTTAAATTCCTAATCAGTTACAAATTATTTATCATTTAATGATTAACCTGTCCGTGCTCTGTCTTTGCCCTGTCCTGTTTTTGTTTGGGATCCGCCTAGGCTCCTTGCCATTGGTTCTTGTTGCTGGGTCATATAGGGGTTGCGTTCATTGAACGCCGGGCCTTTCCTTGTTGATCTTGTTTATCATATTTTATACTTGGATCTTCATATTACTATCAACAACAATTCTATTCACACGAAAATCTATGATAAAAGAGATGACTTTGACTTTTCTATAGTTAATTATCCACATTTAGATGGAGACGTACCCCATGCAACATCTTACGGGATTTATGTTTCTCAGTTAATTAGATTCGCTAGAGCTTGTAGCAACGTAAAGGATTTCAACGAGCCGAATATTTTTTAATTACAAGCAAGCTTCTAAAACAGGGCAACCGCTATCATAAATTACGGAAATATTTTACTAAATTTTTCAATCGTAACTTTGATTCAATAGTGATTTGAAAACTCTTCTGCGACAAGGGATTAGCCAGCCTGGTTTTTATGGCGATGTGATTTACAAACTTCGTAAGATTTTGGGTCATGGTTATTTTTCTGCTGTTTTTACTAAAATGATTAAACGTTTTATTAAAAGAGGTTATGACCCTACTATTTTAAGACATACTGCATGTTAAGTGTTCAACCCTTTTACAGTTGGATACTACGCTTTCCTCTTTTGATTGCATCTGACGGACCAATTGCATCTGACGGACCAAGTGGGAGACTATGATGGATAGTTCGTAAAGCCCTTTGGGACTGAATTGTCTTAATGTTCGTCTTCTGCCTTGCTTCGTCGGGCCCTTGTAGTCGATTTTCTTGTTGCTCTGTCTTCCCTTAGGACATTGAGTACTTTTGTTATGGTCATTGGGTTTACTTTTATATGTTTCTACATGATCATTTTAGTGTTTTACTTATTTAATCTTTTGTAACCATGACAACTGTTAGAATTTTACTTGGCGGGGATTCATTTTATTTACACTGTCTCGTTTATAGGAACATGGTGGGGCTAAGAGCGAGGTTTGGTGCACCATTAACCGGTTTAAACTCCCCAGCTGCTGACCGTTCCAAGGCGGCGCCCCACTGTGTTCCTCAGATGTATGTATGTCTATGTTGTTTCATACTGTTTTGGTGACACTTTTACTTGTGTCCCTTGTTGTTTTCTCGTCTACTGTAAGTATCTTCCCCATTGCCTCTAGTTTTTATTTCTTGGATTACCCCCCTCCCCCCCCCCCCATTCCCCCGGTCTCCTGTCCCAGGTGGGCCTTTAATGATTAACCTGTCCGTGCTCTGTCTTTTACCCTGTCCTGTTTTTGTTTGGGGTCCGCCTGGGCTCCTTGCCATTGGTTCTTGTTGCTGGGTCATATGGGGGTTGCGTTCATTGAACGCCGCCTTTCCTTGTTGATCTTCTTTATCATATTTTATGAAAATGCAGCCGCTTGTTTTTGATTTAAAAAACTGACTTAGTAGAAATACATAAAATTCTTCTCTTTTCCTAGGAAAATGTCTACAGATTGTACCTCAAACAATTCTAGTGATCCAACATGTGATCACCTAAATGTGGGCCAATATGAGACTCGGGTGGGGTGGGGTGGGTTCATTGAATGCCGCCTTTCCTTGTCGATCTTGTTTATCATATTTTACGTGGCAAGTCCACTAAATGAAAGCACCATTGACATGGTAAATAATATTTATAGACAAGACATTTGAACAGCTTCAATTTTATCAACTTCATAAATATTTTATGTGATTGGAACATACATTATAACATTTATTCATACATGAATGCATAATATCTTAATTAGCTATCACTAAAACTAAAGTTAATATTGTTAGGTGCATGTCAAACAAATGCACATAACATGGCATAAAAATGTTCATGGATAATGCTGACTATCACACAAAAGTGATCAGAAAATGAAATATTTATTACTCAAATCTTATGATTAAAAATTCTACACAAAATTATTAATGGAACATAATAGATTTGATGAGAATCATCAGAAACCAATATTTTTTTCAGAGTATAGAGATTGGAAGAGAGGAGACAGTTGGTGATGGTGTAGATGAAGAGGAAGAGGTGGATGTGAACATTTTAATTGAGAAAGAGGTATTAACATCAATACAAAACTGGCTGTTATATAGACATCTTCTGAAAATTGAAATATATAAACTGTCAGCAGAATGTTTTCTCTCTACATCTTTAAAGTGCAGTACTGTGATAACAAATTGGCAAAATGGCTGACCAGTCCACAAAAGTATTACTGAATCTTTGAAAAGTGGAAACAACTGGTAACATTCAATTAATGTAGTAATTAACTTTGCTTTATATGTGAACTCAACCAGCATTGTCTGTGTGAATAGATACATGTATATCAATAAAATGTAGGTGAATTATTAATGAAAAAGCATGATTTTCAATAAGAATTTTTACTTGGGTAAATATCTCTTGACATTTTATTTCAGAAGAAGAACCACCACACAGGAATCCAATATAATTTAACATATTTTGTTTTTAGTATATCATGATATCGTAAAAGAAGTTTCTTTACCATGATATTGTCAGATTTTTTATTTTTAATGGATATTAAAACAGAAAGCGAGTCAGAAAATATCACAAATTTATCGTGGGTATGCTGTGCTATGTATGACAATGCTAAATCGATAGCTTTTGCTTCAGCAGTAAAAATTGATGCATTATCTGGTAACCTCATACTAGATGTAAAATTATTTTCAAACACAGCCGCACCTACTTTGCAACCTTCTTTTGAACCGTCCGTATAAATATGTATAAAATCTTCATGTTCTTCCTTAATTGCTAGAAACTTCTCTTTGAAATATTCAGGTGAATTTTGATGCCTTTTTTATATTTGAAAGGTTAATATTTATTTCCCGGGAATTATAAGTCCAAGGTGGAACATCCTCATCGTCATTTTTGAAGGATACTGTCTGGATTAATTTTAAGTTTATCTAAATCATCTTTTAAACGAAGGCCTAATGGTTTAATTTCCTTTGGTTTGTTAACAAATTTTTCAGTATAACATGGTTTGAAAATAATATTTTTAGCTGGATTTTTCCTATTAGATGAAATTCTAGTTGCATATTGAAGTGATAGCTTTTTACGACGAAGATAAAGCGATGGTTCCCCAGCTTCCGCATATAGACTTTCTACAGGTGAGGTGCGGAAAGCACCTAAAGCTAAACGTAAACCCTGGTGATGTATGGTATCTAGCATTTGAAGATATGATTTTCTTGCAGACCCATATACTACAGAACCATAATCTAATTTTGATCGGATAAGACTTCTGTATAATTTCAGTAATGTGGAAGAATTTGATCCCCAATTTGTACTTGATATAAACCTTAAGTAAATTTAAAGCTTTTAGGCATTTAGTTTTTCAAATGTTTAATATGTGGTATAAAAGAAAGTTTTTTATCAAATATAATTCCTAGAAACTTAGCTTCATCAACTACTGGAATTTTAGAACCAGATATGTAAAGTTCAGGGTCATTATGTTGTTTTCGCAATCGGCAGAAATGAACACATTGAGTTTTTGACTTTTGAAAATTTAAACCCATTTTCTATTGCCCACTTCTGAATTTTATCTAAATTTTGTTGAAGTTGCCGTTCAATTGTTCTCATACTTTTCGATCGATAGCAGATAAGAAAATCGTCTACATATAGAGAACAATCTATGCCTGGTGTAAGAGCGCTAGCAATATTGTTTATTTTAAGGCCAAAAAGTGTAACAGAAAGTATGCTTCCTTGAGGAAACACCTTGTGCTTGTTGGTGGTCTTGAGAAAAAGTTGAACCAAGTCTTACTTTAAAGTGCCTATCGTTTAAAAATCCAGAAATGAAAAGAGGAAGTCTGCCATTAAGTCCAGCATCCTTTAGATCTTTTAGGATACCATATTTCCAAGTAGTGTCGTAAGCCTTCTCAAGATCAAAGAAAATTGATACCAGGTGTTGTTTATTTACAAAGGCTTCTCTAATAAAAGTCTCAAGTCGTACAAGATGATCGTTTGTACTTCGCTGTTTACGAAAACCAGACTGAAAATTAGTGATAATTCCATTATTTTCTAGATACCAAACTAACCGATTATTTATCATTCTCTCGAATGTTTTGCAGAGGCAACTTGTAAGTGAAATTGGACGATAATTTGTAGGGTCAGTTGAATCTTTTCCAGGTTTAGGGATAGGAATAATCAACGCATTCTTCCAAGTGTTGGGAAATTCACCAGAAACCAAAATTTTGTTAAAAATTTCAAGAAGCAAGTCTAGCGATTGGGGTGGTAAATGTTTAAGAAAACTGGTAGTAAATTTCGTCCGGGCCTGCAGCACTATCTTTTGCAGTTTGATTGAATAAATTAAGTCATCAATAGAGAAAAGGGAATTATAGTCTTCGTCGTTTGTTTGAAGTAAAATTAATATACTCTTTCTCAGCTTTACATTTATTTGTTGAAATGTATTTGAATAATTGCTTGAAGAAGAGTTTTTTTTTCAAACGTTTTAGCCAAAGTTTCTGCAATATCTGTTTTTGTTTTTGGCATATTGGCCATCACCAGTTTTTAAGTGAACAATTGGACTCTTTTTATACTTACCACTTATTTTTCGTACTGCATCCCAGACTTTCCTAATAGGAGTATTTGAATTAATATTTGAAACATAAGATTGCCATGATTGGCGTTTAGATTGACGCACTGATCTTCTAGCTTTGGCTCTAAATATTCTATAATTTTCAAGGTTTTCTGTTGTAGGTCTATGTTCAAACTTTTTGAGTGAAGCTTTACGTATACGAACGGCTTTTTTACATTCATCGTTAAACCATGGTTTTTTGATTTTGTTACTTTTATTTTTTTTTAATGGAATAACTTTGCAAGCAATCGTATGTAATGCTGAAGAGAAAGTTTCAGCTATATCATCAGAGGTGAAATCAAATTCATTTTTTGTAAGATCAATAGAACAGAGCCTAGTAAATGTTTCCCAATCTGCTTTCTTAAATTTAAAAATTTGACGTCCTTCATCTGGAATAGAGTCATTTGATGTAAGTAACAATGGATAATGATCACTGCCGTACTGGTCATCTAAAACTTTCCAATCGAAGTCCAAGTATATAGCAGAGTGGACAATCGAGAGGTCGATGCAAGAAAACGTACCTGTAGCTGGATGTAAATATGTAGGTGACCGATTGTTTAATAAACAAAGCTGAAAGTTATCTATCAATTTTTCAGTTATGTTACCCTTATTATTTGTAGATGTACTGCCCCACATAGGATTGTGAGCATTAAAGTCGCCTAACAAAAGAAAGGTGATGGTAATTGCCGAACAATACTTTCAAGTTCATCACTTGTTACCGTTAAATTTGGAGGAAAGGTATAAAGAACAAATTGTTACGTGGTCGATGTAAAGGTCACCTGCACAGCTAAAAGCTTGTAATCTTGTTGTTTAAGTTTTAATTCTTTTTGAGGAATGCAATTTGCGATAGCAATGCTTGTACCACCCGATGTTTGGCGTTACTAGTGCATATATATAACTATAAAGTGTATAATCTTTTATAGAGATATTATCTTTAGGAGATAACATAGTCTCCTGAAGACATAATACATTTGGAGAGAATTTTGATAATAGTAAAAGTAGATCATTATAATTTGACTTAAGACCTCGGCAATTCCATTGTAGGATAGAATGACTTCTATTATCCATTTTAAAGAATATTTATATCATTTAGGAAACTTTATTGGACTTCTGCTATTCGGAGTTGGAGGAGGGAGAGGTAAAGATCCTCATCCTCCATCAATTGGGTGTCGTGAAGTGGATCGAACCGATTTTCTGTGTTGATCGGGTTCCGCATTGCTTTTTTCAACCGATCTGTGATAACAATTCGCTCTTTAGGCGATTGTTTTTGAATAACTTTCTCAGAAGATGCTATTTGAACGTTTGCAGTTTGCTTCTTTGGAGAAGACTTTAATGGTGACTGAGTCTGCACAGAGGTAGACTGCTTACTTTGTGAAGCTGTATGCTTTGTAGGTAATGGTAACTTAATTGGGGGGCATTGACATAAGTTGACCTGTACTGCAGAGTCAACCATCTTAACAGACTTTTTAACTGCAGCTGAATACGACAACTGTTTTGGTCCTTGTGATTCAACAAGTTTTCGTGCATCTTGAAAGGAATATTTTGCGTATACTTCTGACGAAGAATTTCTTTTTTCCTTTAACCACAAGGGGCATGACCGGGAGGTGGCGTAATGCTCTCCTCCACAATTTGCACATTTAACAGGAACGTTACAAGTCTCATTTTTGTCATGGTTTGAGCTACATCTGCGGCAAATAGTCTGCCTAACGCAATTTGATTCATGATGACCAAATTTGAAGCATTTGTAACATTGCATTGGGTTTGGAATGTAAACCGCAACGCGAACGTTAAGGTAACCTACTCGTATCGATGATGGGAGAATGGGTGTGGAGAATGTTAGAATAAGGCTATTCGTTGGCAGTCGTTTACCATCTCTTGTAGACTGAATGCGCTTGACATTTGACACCTGCTGTGATTTTAACTCTTCAGCAATATCTGCTTCTAGCATTCCAGCAAGGTCAGAACATCTGATGACGCCCTTGCTGGAGTTTTAGAGACTGGTGTGGTGTGGCAGTTGTGTCAATATTAAAAAAGCTGGTACATTTCAGAATAATGTCTGATTGTTGTTTCCGCTCTACCTCTATCAAGAGTCCTCCATTGCGGAGTTTCTTGACAGATTTAGGTGTTCCAATTAAAGCCGAAAGTTGTTTTTTCTATAATGAAGGGGCTAATTCAGTAAGTGATTTGGAGCCGTTTGATTTGATTATTAGAAACGGCGGAAATTACGCATCAATGATGTACACTTTGATCTTCTTGCGATTGTTCGTTTTTTTGATTTGTATATCACATGATTAAAGGTTATTAAAATTCGTCTCCCGGAGTTCCCAGCCACTCGGGACTCCAGACCATGGCGATTTGCGATGGAGGCACGGATATCCGTTCGCCGCACATCAAGGTACCAGAGAGAGATGACGTCGCATAAATTGCCACACAATATTATCAATAACACAATAGCCGATTAGCCGCCTTCTTGGATATGTATTACTGTGATTTATAACTGCATATATGATATTGTTTACATGACGGCACCCATGCATAGCAGTTTAGTAGATTAAGGATTCAATCATATACTAGAAAACAAAGTAGGAATAAAATTTAAACTCAAAGATTTTTTTATTTTAAATAAATTTGCTGTGATTGAATTGTAGGTTCTTTGGGACGTATAGTTCAATGAAGATTTTTAAGTAGGTATTTTAGAAGTATATATCCCAGGGGGCAATGGCAGACC